GCAGTTTATATATAACTAGTTTTGCTTTAATATTTGCATTATATAATTTTATTTCTAATATGAATAATAAAATTTGCAATAAAGAGATTACGTTAATACTAAAATAGAATTAGTTATATATGCTATTTTTTTTATTTAAGAATATAGTATGAAATAATACTGTATAAAGGCAAGTTTTATTTTTTACAATTTTTGTATTTAATAATTATATTAAAAATTTAATGTAACCAATATACGAGTCAAATAAGAAAATTTTGCATAGTTTGAAACTTTAGAAAGAGAAAATTATATTTATGCATTAATAATTTTTTTTGCAAAAGTTTAGATAGATACGTTTATTTATCTGCGTGATATTCATTATAACATTATTATTAACTTTATTAATAAAATTAACTAGACGTTGATATTTTTTCTTGCTAATCTAAAATCGGATAATATAAAACATTAAATATAGAAATTAAAATTGACTATGCTAATAATTCTGGCTATTTACAGTAAAAACAATAAGGCATTAACTTAGGCCAATTTCAGCATCATACAGTATCAACCACGATAATCATTAACGTATGGCGGTACGATAACTGTTCTATAATTACACCGTCTGGTCGGGTGACTTTTTTTTTTTTTTAAGAAAAAAATCACAGCCCATAATGATAAGAAATTGCTTATTACTATATATAATTGATGTCAAAAATAGGTGCAAGTATTTGTACGATGTGCTTATACGATGTGCTTACAAAAAATGTGCTTATAGAAAAGGTGACAATAGAGAAAGTAAAATGATATACAATTAATTTGAAGTACAAGGGAGGTAAAAAATAAACCATCCCTCGTTTTTATAACCAGCGATCTTATTGTTATTATATTAAATTTGTTATATCATTTATGGATAGTAAATTATTATAATCTATAGTTCAATCGTAATGATTAGCATATGAAGCAGGCTTGTTTGTTTCCTCCTTGTAGTAAAAAGCTAGTGGCAAAATAGAAATTTAAGCAACTCGGCTTACAGCGAAACGTTAATAATAAATTATAAATTATATATATATATTATATATTATTTGCTCACTATAGATAAATTTGGTTGTGGCAATAATTTTTAAAAAGATATATACTAAAAAAAATGTAAATGATATGAAATGACGTAATTACGGGGAACGACTAAATAAGTGAAATGTCACATAGTTACATAATTTGTGTCCTGATAAAAAGAACTCGAAAATATCACAGATAAGATTTATATTGTTTCATCTGACCTGCAGATCTTACATATACATTTATATTGCAGATTGCAGATTGCGTTATCAGAAATTCAACTTTTTATTAATACTAATATATAGATATATAGCATAGCATATATCTAATATTTTGAAACTTGTTCAACAGGGTTCTCCTAAACGTCACAGATTTTCAAGAAATACATCAAGATATACAAATTACTATTAGGGTCTCCATTCATTGGACCAAGAAAGGAATAAACAATTTCCCACATGGAAAATATAGATTACATTGTTTTTTTATATTACAGTTTAAAAAAAAAAGGTATATAAGACAAAGTGATTTGTATTGTAAATGTAGGACTAAATAGTTAGAAAGCACGTACGCGTAATTTAATTTATCTGATCTAATTTTAAAATATAATTCGGTTATGCACATTTTCTCCGGTGGTCGTACCTTTTGAATCAATAAATTTAATAAATTTACTAATTTTTAATCAGTATAAATATCGATACCTTCTGCCAAAAATCGTTCGTTGGAACTGTTTAAAATTTTCAACCTTGTTAAAGTAAATACTATGGCTTCTAACTTGTCATTGGAATTTTTAGCAAATGCTCTAATGAGTAGCCTCGATCGTGGCAAGATATTTCCACCCCAATTGAACAATCCTGAAGAGTTGTTATCAGCTCATTATAATAGAATTAGCCCACCTACACGACCACCTAACGGATTTCTTTTGTGCAGGAAAAACGTCCATTTCGAAGCGAAACAACAAGGACATTGCAATATGCGTGTGATTTCCAAAGTGACCGGGATACTTTGGAGAACTGCATCTGCTGAAGAGAAAGAGGCTTATGAACAATTAGGTAATGTTTAATGATGAAAGAAGGTGAAAAATTCAAGTTTACAATAATAATAATTTTTTTTTACATAATTACTTTTTATTAGCTCAAGCAGTTAACTATGTTTATGCGCAGCGGTATCATCTCGACAATAATAATTATTATTACATGCGTAACATGCAAAATTCTTATGTGCCAATGGGTTTCTACCCTCCTCAGCAAGTTGATTGTCCTGCTAATATTCCCATTTATCCGGATTTATCCATGTTTGTTAATATGCAGCCAGAATATTTTCCGTATGAATGCGAGATGAATGGAAACCAAGGATTTAATCCATTTTATTATACTCAACCGAGAATTCAATAATTGGATGAATAAGTTCAAATACAGGTAGTGTGATATCTTTTGAACAATATATATTTTCTTTTTTATTTTTTTTTCGGTAACAAATATGATTCGTGTTTTAATTTTATGATTTATGCATATCGTTTACAGATTTATGTATCCTTAGGCAGTACTTATATGTTAAGATTATTTATTTGGTGTGGCCGCACCCTGATTATGTAAAAAAAGGAATAAGCAAAAAAATTGTTTTTTTTTTATGGTCTAATGGTTAAAGATAGGCACTATAATGAAAAATAGGATTCTAGTACTAGTATGATTTACAATATAATTATTATAGAAGTATGTAGTATTAAGAATCAATTTTTTTTTATTTTATACCTGGCAATCATGATAAGTCGTTTTTACAAGCTTATGTATTAGGTTTATTATTAGATAAAATATGATTAAGTTATAAACTGACCATTTTGAAGAGAGTATCGGAACATTTTATCGTTCCAAAGAAATTATGATGTAAAGTGACTTATATAATGACTTAGCGATGGAACTTCTTGATTTATTACAGTATTAATAATTAATAATTAATAATGTAGTGATTAATAATGTAGTGATTAATAATTATGAGAAATTCTATTAGTATTAGTAATATTTAGGGTGACATTAACCCGGGTGATAATAGAATTTCACGCTAACAAATGCCGAATTACTGAGTATTCCGGAGTTTTAAAGGCCCGCTCTATTCGAGTCTTTAATTTTTACTAATTGAGATTTCCAAATTCATCGATTCCCCATATGGGTACGTAATCCAGATCAAAATGATATTATTCCATAAATATAAAATTGGTTCGAGTTCAAAAATAGTTACCCTATGTGTATATGGAAATCATTTTCCACATCTTTTTGAAAACAGCTGTAAAAACTATTAATAATCTTAATAACTAATTACACGTTACTCTGGATATATTGACAATTTTTTTTCATTAGTAAAAAAATTCAAAACGTCGATACAATGAGTTATACCGACATTTCATAATACTGTAATAAACTTTTGAAAAAAAAAAATTTTTACTATGATATCAGATGTCGGTATAATCAGAATGACATGTATTAATTATTTTATTATTAACTAAAAATTCGGAAGTTCCATCACTAATAAGACTTAATTAAAACTTGTTAGTGATCTCTAACATATTAAATAACCATATTCACGACAAATTTAAATGCAGCAAGCATTGAAATTGTGTTGTAAAAATATCATTTGCCAAGATTAGATGGATTAACGGTTTAACAAATTACGACGTTTAAAATTATGGTATCTTGTAGCGCGTTCTTTTCAGCGATTGAAGACGCGGATTCCGAAAATGAAATTTATTTTGTGTAAGCTCGGAAAAACAATCAAAGTATTTGTGATATGATTTACACAAATGTTACACAAAGGTTGTTCCGATAATTTTTGAATTTGAAAAATTAGAAAAACCGCCAAAAATTTCTATCGAAAATTTCCATGATATATAAATTCGTCACAATGTGATTGGTCGCCATTAAAAAGGACAGTATATTTGTCCAATTATTTTGTCAAACGGTTGTTTTTTTTTTTTTTTTTAACAAAAAATAATAATAATAAATGTCGCAGCTGATGCCGAAATTTTGGTCTCGATTTGAAAATATGAGCCCTACTAAAACCCACATGTACACTTTAATTATAAATTCTAGCCAAAATCAGAAAACTCCAAAAAAATCTTTACAATTTCATACCAAAATAGGTCCAAACTTCGGCATAGCGCTAACAAATCGAAGAAACTACGGTAAAATATGACAACATACTATATCAGAGTAAGCTAATCCATTAACAGCCCTATTGGAGCACCCCCAACCCAAGTTGGAGTGGGCTTAAAATTGTCTTTAAATTTGGAGCAACCAGATGCAACCGGAGTAGCTATGGAGCAACCCAGAGTAAAATGTTGGAGTAAGTCTAATTTAATGGAGTAGGTTGAAGACCTATTAACAACCCTATATACCAACCTTTTTATGTAATAATCAAATCAAAATAATAGGCATAAAATACTGTGAAAGTTAAAAATAAACTTTAAAAATGTGTTTTATAGACATAATAGATCGATCACGTAAATAAACGCTATATTAGGCAAAAAATACTTTTTTTTTCAATGTGCTAAATTAGCATCACATCATATTGATGTATTAATTGCTTTTCTCTACATATTTCAATTTGTTTGTTATGTTTGACCGAACGATCAATCAAATTGCTCATTAATCTCACGTGATTCTAACCAAATCCTAAAAAAAAAAAAAATAAAAAGAAAATTGGAAAGATGCAAGTGAATTATCCTTATTATTTTATTGAATACACACTGCATCTTCATGCGATAAATCAGATTAAATTGATTATTGGAAAAAACAAACTTCTAATCAGTGTACTCACAGAGCGCGTGCATATATTCAACGTATCGAATATTGATGCTGAAAAACGATTGGTTCATTAAAACTATAAGTTGCATAGCATATCAAAAAAATTAATTATACGATTATTGTATTTTATTTCCAAATTCATCGTTTTCTGCTGTTTGGGTACGGGAGATGTTACATTAGGTCATTTCTTTGTTATATTTGCCAGGAAGCATCAACTATTTCATTTAAATGACACGTTTACCACCACCTGCATAGTTATGATTCATGTAATGTTGGTACACACACCAACTTGAAGTTATTGGTATGCAATTACTAATATTGGTACACTTCTAGGAATTGAAAGCCCATTCTGAAATTACATACACATTATCAAAAAAGTTCGTCTTCAAAAATGGTTAGATATTTAGCCGTTATTAAGAAACCTAGAAAAAAAAAAAAAATACTTACGCGCATTGCATGAGACAAAGTTCAACAAGTAAGTTGTAAACGTTAGCAATGCAGCTATCCTGAATGAGTCCAAAATAGTATTTCTATAATATCTTTTTGAAAAAGTTTTTCAAGTGATTTTATTCGATAAAACTTTAAAGTTTACCTATAATTTGATTAACCCTAATAGATTTGGGATATGCTTTAGCCATGTACAACTTTTGTACTCCCTTGAATGAGAGATTTCATTCAATTTTGGTTGTTATTTAAGGATGTTACGTACTTATTTTTTTTTTTATTTCTAATTCTGAGCCGATTGAATGGATTAAATAAAGCTTTATTTTTCCTAACAGTCGATTGAAACCTTGGCAGTTTTAATCCACATTAAGCAAAATCAAAATGTTTTGTTGTATTCTTTTCGTAATAACGAGACTTCTATAAACCAAACTTTTTTAAAAATACTTTTTCTTTTTTTTAATTGATGTAGAATACCATATTCGAACCTTTTTTGTGTAGATATCGAGTCTTCTTTACCTATTATTACTCATAGTAACCGATTTCTTCACCGAACAAATCACATGATCACTCTTTTTTTAATATAACACGGAATATGATAATCGTTTTATACAAATTAGGATACACCGTTATGTAAGATTATATAATACGTAATAGTCTTGTTGACAAAAAAAAATTACCAAATACTCGATACTGTAACGTTGGGTAAAAAAGTGAACAGATGACTGCATATTTGAGCATAAAAAACAAGTTATGTACATGTTTAAAAAAAAAAAACAATTTTAATAAAAATGTGTAAATACATATATATCGATATACTGGATATATATGTCAAACAAAAAAAAAGACCAACACTAATTATAAGGTCGTACTATAACTTGTCAGAGCTCTTGTTAATTTAAATTAGTATAGAAAATTCTTGACTCTGTATAAAATGATAATTTTTTTTTTTTTTTTTTTTTTTTTTTTTTTACGTACACTCCGTTTAAATTAATTGGTACGTAATCTGACGTCTAAGTTAATTGGTATTGGTAATTTGATGACATACATTAAGAGCTAGAGGTATGTTAAACTGATGATAGAACTAACCAGTGTTAAAAAAAGGAAGTTGTTTAATTGCTACGTATTGAAAACTCAATTCTAAGAGTTTTTTTTTATGTACCATAATATGTGACAATTAAATTATCTCTTTTTTTAACCGTTTAGTCTCATCACTAAGTTAGATAAATAACTACTTAATTTAGACGGGAAGGAATAGGAAATAGCGATAAATCATTTTGTATACTGTCAAATTGGTCTAATTGCATATACTCTCTAAATGCTTTGGTTTTTAATTATTAGCATAAAAATAGTTCTTATAACTTAAACACCATGTTTATTTTAAAAATTTAAGGCATAAAAAAATTTTTTTTTATAGCCTGATTCAAAATATACATGACTATTCTTAATATTATAATTATTTCTATGAACAGAGAATACATCACTAATAATTATTGACAAATTTTATAGCCCTCTATTCTTTATTGAACGAATGGTGAATAAATACCATCCCTTATAGAAACCCACATAAAAATCCTTATAGAATCTCCTATAGAATCTCTTATAAAATCTCTTATAGAATCTCTTATAAAATCTCTTATAAAATCTCTTATAGAATCTCTTATAAAATCTCTTATAGAATCTCTTATAAAATCTCTTATAGAATCTCTTATAAAATCTCTTATAGAATCTCTTATAGAATCTTTTATAAAATCTCTTATAGAATCTCTTATAAAATCTCTTATAGAATCTCTTATGAAATTATTCTATACATAAATGTAGTGTTAACCTTAAGAAGACACATTTCGAGTAATATCTACTACCAAATCCCTGATGTTTGTCCGGTTTAAAAGCGGTTTGGTTGGTTGATTGCGCTACATGAATTAAAAGTGCAATTGGAAACTAATAGTGATAAGTAAAATGTAGAATCTAATTGCGCCACTCGACATTTCTGTCTTGGGTTTAAAAAAAAAAAAAAAGGTAGAATATCTGATTTTTACATGTCGGATCTGTGTCGGATCTGTGTCGGATCTGTGTCGGATCTGTTAATGATATTGACATTATTAAAGATGAACACGCTAATCATTTCTTAATCTACATTAGATTTTTTATAAATTCTGAATTACGCTATCTTAGATCTTGACCGAATTTAATACTAATAATACTTTGTTTGAATATCATGAGTTTACTGAATAAGAACTTGTTTGGTTAGCGTAAGTTAATATTAGTATCGGTAACGTAATCTAGTTACAAAAAATTTTACCATTTCGTGTAACCCTAGCTTCCGGAATTCGACCGACAATTCAGATAATTCGATTGAATTCGGATATAATACATATCGGATTAAGGATAAGGATTATCCGGATCATATCTTTCATGTGGTTGGTCAATTTGAGCAGCGAACGATGATAAATACAGTTTAGTCTTTAACTGGTATAAGGAATTTTAACGCAACTACGTTGCGCAGCCAATATAGAATCCGGATTTATCCGGATACACAAAGTAGGATCCGAATTCAATCCGAATGGCCCTAAAGAATAGGGTCGAAACACTAATATTGTAGCAAAATTACGATCCGAGCAACTTTACTTAGTACATCGGTTGGGGTTTATTAGTAAGATCGCCAATTCCGGAAGCTCGGTTACATAAAATTGTAAATTTTTTGGACATAGCAGTATCGTAGTAATAGTTATTAGTAGGATCTTAATGTAGTATGACAGGTGAACTGTGGTATAGCCAAGCATGTTTATTTATTATTGATTTTTTCATATGGGCTAGGTGCTGAGAAAAGGGCCGAAAATGATAAAAAAACATAATCTTCAGAAATTCAATTTTTATATGACAGCCGTCAATAGAAATCAGACAAATTGACATTTTAAAAAATTTAAAGCCTTAACTTTCACAGCTCATATCTCGATGAATGTTAAAGCTATCTTAATAAATTTATATGCAAAAGAAAGCTTAAGATTTAAGCTTTCTTTTGAATATAAATTTATTAAGATAGCTTTAACATTCATCGAGATATGAGTTGTGAAAGTTAAGGTTTTAAATTTTTTTAAAATGTCAATTTGCCTTATTTCTGTATTTCTATTGACAGCTGCCCATATTATAAATCTTATCCCTTAAACTGTAGGCTTTTCTAGGCAAATTTGCCTGGAAAATTATCATAAATATGGTTATAATCTACTTTTTTTAAATTTTAACATATTTAAATAAATTTTTTTTTGATAATATTTGAA